CTCAAGGTGGGTCCCAATATCTCGAACTCTTGGATTACTTTATCCACAGAGTCGCTCCCTTGGCAGATGGCTGCCAGCTTCTGTCTGGCTGTGGCCTCCCGGTTCGGGTCCTGGAACATGGCATCAAGTTCTGTGTTGAACTCGTCCATGGTGAGGGAGGGGGAGCCAGCCGTCAGCAGCATGATCATGCGTTGCATGGCCCATGCCCCTGCAGGTCCTCCTTTCATGTAAGACAACATGAAAAGGATCTGGGAGAGGGTGGTGGGGAACTCAGCCATGTGAACATGGAAATAGATTCCTGTCAGGGCACACCCACCTGACCCCACTCCACCTGGTCCGACCCCACCCGATCCCACTATCCTCACCCACTGCCCCTGTCATATCCGTGCATACCCGACCCCGACCCGACTTCCGGACCTCCACCCTCTTCACCTCCGGAGTCATACCCTACCGCTGCCGTTCCGATACTCACCTTCGGTCCTGGCAACACACCTCCTTCTACCCCCCACGCCACCTCTACTCCTCCTTCCCTCTCCTCCCCTATCTCCGTCCGCTCCGATACTCACCTCGGACCGAACACCGCCCCTCTCGCCACCCTCCTACTACTTCTCCTCCTCCTACTCCGCTCCTCCTTCACAACACCTCCACCCTCCCATCACCCTCCTACGCTTCCCCTGTCCGCTCCGATACTCACCTTCGGACCTGACAACTCTCCTTTCCGCCACTCCGTCTCCCTTACCTTTCTCCTCTCTCCTCCCTCTGGTACTCCTCCACCGGTCTCCCGCCAAGTTACGACCTTCCACCACTGTCCCGTACTTCGTACTCGGACACCGCTCGTACCTTTGCTCCGAGCCTCTGTCACAGTCCCTACCTCAGACTTTGACTCCACCTCGGTCTTAGTGCATTGGTGACCTCATACTACATAAACACCATTGCCAATATCCCTCAGACTTTCAACCCCGCCTCCGTAAGCTCCGTAAGCTCTGCAACCTCTGAGCTTCACGGATCGCCTTTGGCACTTTCGCCGCTTGTAATGTATCTCTCGCGTTTTCCCCTCATCCCTATTTGGACTACTGCTTCTTCCCATTCTAGCCAGTTAGTCATCACCCCCACTTCTCCTCATCCTCCTGCCCCTCTGGGCCTCACCCTCCCTACCTCCTTTCGGACGTATCACAGGTCCTGCCTTATGACCTTCGGTACCGCTCCGCTTCTTTTACCCTTTGTTCCCGTTCGGACATCTTCGTTCCGATTTGGTTTCCCTTTGTTTCCTTGTGCTTTTGCCCCCTCCATTATATATATCGGCACTTGTACATACTCATTTTGGTTCAGTCCGAAATCGACCTGAAATGCCCCCTAGAGACTTCCTGCTCACCTACTGTGAAATTAAGGACCAAATGGACAAACAGCAATGGCACAGCGCTCCGCTTGAGTGGCTGAGGCCAAGGTCCCTCCACGCTAAGTCTCCGATTCCACTCCAGAGTCATCTGTATCTGCCCGGTTCTAACAGCCCCCATCCTCCCCCCTCTCTTCTCTCCTTCTTCCTTCCCCTTTTCCTTCCTTCTTCTTTCCTTTCTTCCCCCTTGTCAGGGTTCAGCACCCTGCCTTAGGGTGCCCCGGACTCCCCACCTACTTTACCCCCTTTTATTCTTTGACTGTTCCCTTGTTGTTGCCTTTGTGTGTTGTGTACATGCGCGCGCACGGGATAGCGTGGGAACTTTCTGAGTGAGCAGCTTGCCCAGAATGTTCCCATGGGTCACAGCCACAGTTCTGGGCGAGCAACTCGCCCAGAATGTTCCCACACTTACTGGGCACTGCCACCTGGATGTTCCCTCCGGGTCACACTACACAACTCTAGGAGCTGTATAGTTGTGGGCATGTGACCCATTCCTTTATATAGCAACCATGCGGGGAGATGAGACCTTTACCCTTCTTCTCATCTCATGCCCCGCATAGTGTGAGGACAGGCCAGATGGGGGTTGAGGTCAGGGAGCCTCCGAGTCCGAGGCCGGGCCCTGACACCCCTTCTTTCCTTTTCTACTACATGGACGACTTCCTTGCTCGATGTGCCATTAACCAGGCTGCACAACACGCCTGGACCCGGACACACTGGGTGACGCCCTACACACCGGATGCCCCTGAGACCTCTTACGGAGATACCTGGGCGGACACGGCTGTGCGCGTAGATGATGTGGCGCTCCCCATGTGACCTCCAACCGCATGTACATAAACACAGCCTAAGTGGGAACTGAGAAGTAACCTTCTTCTCACACTTCCCACTTTAGTCTAAGTGGCCAGGGACCCTTGCCTGCTTTGGGCCCATCGTTACACACGCCCGCACCGCACCCTACCAGGCCCTCAGCCCCGGGCGATATACCCGGACGCTCTCGACCCCAGGTCAGTCCCTGACAATTCCGCACTCAGCCTTAAAACAGTCGAGGTCCTCACTGGCTCCTGAGAAGGGAGTGGGGGGGGGGGGCGACCTTAGGTGGTTTGGGTCTGGGTGCGGGTGCAGGGGTAGGCGCAGGGGCGGGTGCTGGTGCAGGTGCAGGTGGGGGGTGATTGCGGGCCTGGCTCTCCACAATGGCTTGGAGCTCTTGGAAGCGAGCTAGCAGCTCTTCATACTGCTCTTCTGACACCATGGCTGGGGAGGCAGGGGAGATGGGGGAGGCAGGGGAGACAAGGTTGAAACCTTCTTCTGCTGTCAGGGACGTGTCCAGGGTAGAAGGGGTCCGGATGTATCGCCCAGCAGAGGGGCCCTTGTGGGATGCAAATCGGGTGGGCATACTGGCAGGTCCGGAAAGGGACAGCAGTCCCTGGCCACTCAGACTGAAGTGGAGAATGTGTTATTATTATTAAAAGGGAAAACTATGCTACTTACCTGAAGTGGAGAATGTGAGAAGAAGGTTACTTCTTCGGTTCCCACTTCAGGTACATTTATGTACATGCGGCTTGAGTCACATGATGGGTGCCACGTCATCCTCGGAGACAGCCACAGCCATCCAGGTATCCCCATGGGGGATCCCGAGAGCGTCTGCTTGTCAGGGACATGTCTGGGGTCGAGGTGGTCCGGGCATAGCGTCCGGTGCTAAGGGCCTCACAGGGGGTAGATTGGGCGTGCATACTGGCAGGCCTGATGCGGGACAGCGATCCCTGGCCACTTAGACTGAAGTGGGAATGTTGAGTTATTATTAAAAAGGGGAACTATGCTACTTACCTGAAGTGGGAATGTTGAGAAGAAGGTTACTTCTTCGGTTCCCACCCCAGGTGTGTTTATATACATGTGGCTTGGGTCACATGAGGTCCACCACGTCACCCCAAGGTACTCTCCAAAAGTGTAATCCTGCCACGAAATCATGAGGAGTCATGACATATCACAAAATTTCATGACCCCTCATGACATGTCATGACAATTGAATTGAATCAGACATTTTTTACATTCAAAAATTTGGATTTCATGACAGTCCATGACAAATTGTCATGAACTGTCACCAAATTTCATGAACCGTCATGAACCGTCATGTGTTGACAAGGTTCATGATGGCTGGTGACACAATTTGACATGATGCCTCATGGAGGTTCATGAGATTCATGAATGTTCATGAATGTTCATGACCCATCATGAGGGGTCATGGAGTGTCATATGTTTATTTTGACCTTTCCTCATCATGTAAAATCCTATAATGTTCCATGATGCATCATGGACATTCATGATGCTCCATGAACATGTATGATGGGTCATGAGCATGCATGAATATGCATGAGATGTCACAAGCGCTTATGAACTGTCATGTGACATCATGTGGCTGTGTTAAACTTTCGCACTTGCTACCACCTCACACTCACACAACTATCACTGCACCCTACTGTGCTTTATTTGAGCTTGAATATCAATCACCTCTCATGGCTCACCCTTTTGGTCAACAATCAGAGACTGGGCAGCATAGGAGCACCAGGATTCATGACAAAGGGGCTCCTCAAGCCCCTAAACCCACCCCAGCCTCAGGCAGCCAGAAGAAGGCCCAGGATTCAACCTTGGCTAGTGGCTCTAAGCGACAAAACACTAAGAAGACCTTTGCAGCTGCTAAGACTGGGACTGTCAGAGACCAGGTTGAGACAAAGGAGTGTCTCTGTGGCGGAGGGCTTCGGCCTCAGCGACTTGTGCCAGGAGCGCTGTGCCAAGTAACACATCCATGCCCTAACTTATGAAGCTGGCAACCAGGACCGAAGGGGGATAAACTCTAGTTGATTTTATTACTGAAGTGTAACCTATGTACAAGTTGAGTATATATAGTTACAGCGAGGGTGGGTCCGCAAATGGCGGAGCGGAGCTAATGGGGTTAAACATTAGCCGATTGAATATTACCGACGAGTTGGGTTACGGGGTTAATGGAAAGGCAGGCAATAACCCAGAAACGGAAAGGAGGGATAGGCCCAAAGGTGGGCTCTGCAGGGCAAGCGAGTATATTGCCCAGCGGAGGTGGGAGTGCACTAGCGGACGTCGGAGCTGTCCAGAAGCCTTTGGGGCTCCGTACTTGGGGAGGCGTAGGTAATAAATTGAAAGGAGGGGGTGGTGACCATTGAGGGGTACCGAGGGGATTGTGGAATGCGGGAGCTCCGAGGTTAGTGAAGAAGGAGCGGAGGTAGAGTGGAGGAGTCAGAGGGATCAGAAGTCGATGGCTGGGGATGGATATGACAGGGACTGGGACTGTGGCTGAAGGTGATAATGATAATGACCCGGCACCAGGCCCCTCCATTGCCCCTCCAGGTCGAACTCGCAAACAGGCTGCAAGCCCAGAACCAAAAGTCCCTACTGCACCTTCCTCTACAGTCCAGGCAGCTAAAGCAGGAAGAAAGAGGGCAAAACAAGATGTGAGCCAATTTTTCTTTGCAAAAATAACTTTAAAAAATCAACTCCCAACCCTTTTGGATAGGATTCCAAAGGGAAGGGTGCTACTCAGCAAACACACTTTGCTGAGGGAGTCACTGCAATTTCTGACTCCATGTCTGAATCAGCAAAGCCCAAATCAACTCTTCAAATTTCGGTAAGTTTTAACTTACTTAATACATACCTGAGAGTAAACCCTTCTTATTAGAGGATACTGCTCCAAGTGCAGTGGACACTGAAAGCAGAGATGATGCAACTGGTGACTTTGAAGAGTTCGATATCCCCAGCAGTGATGAGGATGTTGATGAAGACAGAAACAAACAGGACGAAGATAACAAAGAACAAGATACTATTCAGCTTTTGAGTGGTATGTTAAATGTTAATAAATGCTCCCATTATGCAGGAATTAACTCTCCCATTATTAGGATTGAAAGTTACAATCCAATTCATTGGTCCTGGGTCATCTCCACAGAACAATGGCATTTGCATGGGACATTGCTTTTGTGCAATGCCTAAATGCCCTAACCTTCCACTTAATTTTCACTCAAAGAAACTCTGTGCAGAACATGAAAGGAGTAGGGGCCATTTATGTGGCATAGTCTCTTGTCAGAATCCATGTGTAACAGCCCCCTTGAACTCTGGTGCTTGTAGTCTCCCTGACCATCAACAACGCTGGGAGGCATTCTCTAGAACACATGATAAGGAGTCATATGGAGCATATCGCAGGGTCATACAGAACCAACAAGGACAAGGCCTTCTTGGAGTTTCATCCCCAACAGAGGAATGGGTTATGAATGCTCATCGCATTGCTCAGCAAGCCCTACCTGCTCCAGAGGATCCTGAGCAAGTCATTCCACATCATCATTGTGATGGTGAGGCACCATCTCCAAGTGCATCATCCCGATCCACTCCACGTGGGCAGCACACATGGCAATATAGACATGTATATTGCCCTGTTATAGATACAGAGTCTCCAACAACCATATCTGTCACATAGTCAAAGACTTCCCCTCTCCATCGCTCCCCCTCTCTCTCTCTCTTTCGCCCTCTATCCCAATACCTTACCCTCCTTACTTGTTCTACTCCTTCCCCCCCCCTTGTGCAAAGCTTTCCCCATTGGGGTTTTGGTGCTGGCCGAGGTTGCTTGTGTTTTGCGGGAAATCCTGTGACCTTTCCATTTGTAGATAGTCATGCATCTTGTATGGAAACCACCGAAGGTGGTTCCTGCTAACTACAACTACTCTCTACAACTGTCTTGTGCGCCATCCCTTGTAACAACCCCTTCTTGTGACTCAACTGAACCTGTGTGACTGTACAACTCTCAACATGTCCTATAAGTCTGGTTATGTCGAGTCCTCTAGCGGTCCTTGCCGTGAGAACTCAAAGTTGTGAGTCGAAGACTCTCGACTTGTGTATCATCCTATGGAACCTGTATCCTATGGGACTTCATCACTCAGCTCTTCCCCCAGTGCTCGATGGACAACATCATACCACGATCTTAGGGATCATGAATACTCTGAGGCCCACATTCCCATGATGCTGGTATGCTCGCTACGTGAGCGCCAAGTAGCCACCCATCCATTGTCTGTTCCCTCCCTCGTCAATCATCGTACTCCCTCGCCAACGGTACATTCCCTTTGGGAATGCCAAGTCACCGAAGGCCCCACTAGTCATTCCTCATTGTACACTCATGATACCAACCTGCTACCAGTATGTTCACACTGCAAACGCCAAGTAACCGATGGCAACTATACGAAATCTTCACCCAGCTCACGAGTCGTGACTGCACACACAGTACACTCCATTGAGGAGCACCAAGTACCCATGGCTGACCTGTCCATCCTGATGTCTCCAACTACCCATCATCAATTCCTTAATAGCTCACTTCATCACGAACTATGATCGATGGGAATTCGATCATCTACTCTCGTACAAGACTGGGAACACTCATCGATTACATATCCCATTATGGTACAGACTAGATATAACAATCATCATCCCTCTATAAGAATGGATCGAGAAAAGGGGAATTCTCCCCATCCTCGTAACACTCTCACCCATCCATGTGGTTGTATTGTGGCTTGGACTAAATATATGGTGTCTGAAAGCCCAACCAATATTCTTCATATACTTGAAGAAGTCTTTCCAGACCCAGACTCCCAGCCATCATACATTGTGATTGATAAGACATGTAGAATCCTGGCTACACTGATGAGCCAAGGACAGCATCACAGATGGTTTCAAACATCCCGTTTTCTGGTTGATGCTTTCCATTTCAGGAACCACCACAATGACCCTACATGCCAGAAATATTGCAATCCAACCCCTCAAGTCAAAGATGACCCAAATTTGGTTCTTCCTATTCAAAATGGAAATAGTCAACAAGCTCGGTTTCAGCATGCTTTCAATACAGAGGCTGCAGAGCAGTTGAATGCTTGGTTTGGAGGCTATGCTTCACAGCTAAGTCATATGCATCCAGCCAATCATGATTTTCTTGTGCATGTGATGCTTTCATATCACTTTGAAGTTAAGGGTAACATGTAATTACACCATTATGCCCACACCTGTCATTGTTGTACCTACCAAGAATCCAAATTCATGATCCTTTATGAAGCCCCATGAAGGCTCATGACACTTCATGACACTTCATATACAGGCATGTAACCACTCAAAGCCTGCTTCATAATCACTCATATAGAGGCTCATGGTGGTTCATGAAGGACATGATATCCCATGAAGGCTCATGAAGGCTCATGACACCTCATGAGGTTGCATGTAACTAAAAACCTGCCTGGAAGAACCACTTAAGTCATGGGCAATCATGACCCCCCATGCAGGTTCATGACATCTCATGAAATTCCATGACAGTTTGTCATGAACCAGCATGACTGTGTATGACACTTCATGCTGCTTCATGAAGTTTGGTGACCATTCATGAAATGTCATGACTTCCATGATGGTTCATGAACCGCCATTACACTTTTTGCAAGTTACTGGTCACCCCGCATACAGCCGCAGTCACCCAGGTGTCCCCGTGGGGGATCCCGAGGGCGTATGCTGCATGCATGTGCACTAGGTTGCGCCCTAGAGCCGTCTGGGGTCGTCCGGGGCTAGGCATGTTGTGTGCGCGTCACAGGCGGGTCAATAATACATATATATAAGGGAGAGGTCGTCCGTGTGAAATAGAAATAGAAATAGAAATAGAAATAGAAATGGGAGAGGGATAGAGGGGGAAGGGATATGAAGGAAGGGTGCAGGGTGGGAGAAGGGGTACCGGGTGAGGTGGGCCCGGGTGGAGGCGGGTCAAGCGGGTGTGCCCTGACATCACCCCCTCCTTAAGCCGCTTTGCCTCGAAGTGGCCAGGGGGTTTTCCCTCTCTCTCCCTGGGGCTTGGGGGTGCGCCTGGTGGAACTCTTCGATTTGGTCAGGAGTGTGTGTCAGCCGGTCTTGGGGGAGCCACTCATTTTCGGAGTTCAGCAGCCAGAGAACTTTACCAAATACCAGAGTTTCCAGCGTAACCACTTAGAGTTTAATATTTTCTCCACCTCATATTCCTCCTCATCTACAAGTTCTGGGCCCGGGCAGGGGTCAGGGGGTCGTTCTGAAATTTCGTCTGGGCGGTGGGGCCTTATGTTCATCACGGACATGACTGGGTGTATCCCCTTCTGTCGGGCGGTGAGCTGGAGCTTGACAGCAGCTGGGGAGACGACTTTGACGATTTTGAAGGGGCCTAGCCATTTATGGTCCAGCTTTTTGGTCGGGCGGTCTGTCATGTAGTTCTGGGCGCTGAGCCAGACCCGGTCGCCCTCTTGGTACTTAGGGGCTGCTTCGCGACCCCAGTCGTAGTAGCGGGCCATCTCGTCCGCTGCATGTTCCAGTGCTGCTTTTGCCTCCTCTTGCATCTTCATCATCCTAGATGAGAAGGTGTCAGCAGCTTCCACCTCGGACGTGCATGTGGGCTCTGTCCCCATCCTGGGGTGCTGTCCAGTGTCAAGTTCAAAGGGAGTCCGGCAGGTGGAGGAGTGGACTCGGTTGTTGTAAGCGAACTCTGCTAGCGGGAGCCAATCCACCCAGTCGTCTTGGCAGTGGTTGACGAATACCCGGAGATAGGCTTCGATCTCTTGGTTGACCCACTCTGTTTGTCTGTCCATCTGGGGGTGGTAGGGTGTGGAAGGGGTTAGCTTGACTCCCAGGAGATCTGCGAGTTCTTTCGAGAAGCGCGAGACGAAGGTGCTTCCCCTGTCACTGAGGATCTCTTCAGGGAGCCCATGGTGTCTCCAGACATGCTCCAGGAAGAGCCAGGCGATCCCAGCCGAGTCTACGGATGTCACAGTGGGGACCGTGTGGATATGTTTTGACAGGCAGTCCACTACAACCAGGATGGCGTTGTAGCCTTTCGAGTCTGGGAGCTCTCCCACCATGTCCACTGAGATCACCTGCCAGCGATGGGTGGGGACTTTGTTTGGGGTAAGTTTTCCAACTTTCCGTGTGGGGAAGGATTTGACACGGTTACAGGTGTCGCAACCACGTACGTACTGCCCGACGTACTCTGCCATCTGAGGCCACCAGTAGTCACGGGAGACAAGTTCCAGGGTTTTCCATCGTCCTGGGTGCCCCGTCACCCGTGTGTCGTGGTGGAGCCATACCAGATCATGGCGGAGTTGCGGGTCTTTCAGAACGTACACCCTTCCCCAGTAGAGGACTAATTCTCCTTGTCTCTCCCACTCGTCCGACCTCAGCATCCCCTCCCCTAGTCCCCTCATGGCTTTCACCACCCGCTTGTCATGATCCTTTGCTTCTCCTATCCTCCTCAGAATATCCGCCTCCTCGCCCTCTACTGAGACTGCCTCCATTGCACGGGCCTCGAACCAGGCTGGTTGGAGGAGTGTCAGCCCCTCATTGTCATCCCTTCCCTTCGGGTGGTCAGGACAGTGGGAGAGCGTGTCCGGTTTCCCCATGAGCTTCCCTGGGCGATGGACGAGGGTGAAGTAGAAGCAGGAGAGGAAGAGGGACCAGCGTGCTTGACGTCAGTTAAGTCTCTGGGCCATGCGGAAGTACCCCAGGTTGCGGTGGTCAGTGTAAACCCGACCTTCTCCTCAGCACCCTCCAGGAAGTGCCACCATTCTTCAAGGGCCTGGACGATCACAAGCATTTCCTTGTCATACACCTCATAGTTCCGCTCTACGTCCGTAAAGCTCTTGGACATAAAGGCTACCAGGTGGAACTCTCCATCCGACTGGAGCTGGGAGAGGACCGTGCCAGTCGCGAAGTTGGAGGTGTCACATTCGAGCCTGAGACAGCCCGAATCTGTGGGGAAGGAGAGGACGGGGGCAGAGGTGACGGCATCTTTAAGGGCATGGATCAAACCCAACCCCCACCTGCGCTTGCACCTGTGCTGGCACCTGCACCCACCCCCAGACCAAAACCACCTAAAGTTGCCCCCACCTCCTTCTCAGGAGCAACTGAAGACCTTGACCGCTTCAAGGCCAAATGCGGCATATACTTCCATGTTTGGG